GGCAGTAGTTTCCGTCTGAAGTGATATGTATTTATGGTAATTATACAAAAATGCTGAAAATAGCTGTGGTAATTCTTTTTTAAGATGGCGGAAAAAATAATCGTTGAAGCCCTGTGAATATCAAAATGATTTTGGGATATCGTTTTTTTGTCTTCGTTCCCAATTGGGGTAACAAGAAATAGTTTCTGATGTAACTAAATTAGACGAATACGGTGAATAATTAAACTAGGATATACATTTTGAGACCAAATGTTGTGTAAACCCATGACGGCTATGATTCCTGTAGCCAACATTTTCGAACGTACTCCTTTCCACTATTTTGAAGTAGTACTATTAGAATTATTTCCAGAGTTTCTATAGTTATTATCAACAGTATAATTCTTTAAAAGAAAATTATTTTTAATATTTGATGATAAATAGCATCATTATTTTACGGAAAACTGCTATTTTAATACCAGTTTAGAAATTTGTATATACTTGCACATTAAAGTAATTAGAATTTTTTTCTGGTGTGGCCAGGTCCCTTGACTTTCGCTCATAATACTTCCCATCGGGCACCTTTACGTATTTTATACTACGTACATGGGTTGCACAAAATAAAGTTACACATTTTGCAATAATTATTTCCGTTTATTTAACAGTAAAACTAAGATTAGAAGATGTAGGGAATTTGACACGTTAGAACTTGGCCCTGCGGCGCCTGTTTCATAAGGGTGTAAGCGAGAGACTGACGGCGCATGCGTTGCGACGCGAGTGCGCAGAGAGAGAATGGGTGTATGACGACATTGCGTCGCAGTTGTATCGGCGTTCAAGTTAATAAATAACTGTTATTGTTGCTCCCTTGAGTTTTGCTGCCGATCATCCTGTACACTACAATTTTCAGAAGTGGGATAGGATTCGATTCAATAGTACGGTATCGAGTCCAGTGAGCCATGTGCTAGTGAACGGTTATCGAACACGTGCGTTACGGAGAGTCTTTGTGTTTATGTGAACTTTTAAGAAGTTTTAAATGTTAATTCTCCATTATGGCAACCCTTCGAGACGTTCCAGGACTTATGAACAGTATCGCCAGAGCACCAAGAAAAGCAATCGCCGTGTTATACCGATTTATACAGGGTGTCCCAAAAATGTCTTCTGACCCGGAAATGGGGCACTCGGGGGGTGAATAGGAACAACTTTTTCCTTAGCAACAATGTAAACTGAGGCTTCGTTACCGAGATATTAACGAAAAAACGCGACCAATCAGAGCGCGAGTTTGCCAGCCGAGTACCCGCGCTAGCGGTGGCTACGCTCTGCGCTTGTACTACGGAGCTCCGAACAAGTAGGTCACCATGCATGGCAGGAATAATAATAGCAAATAAACAAGACGTAACAAATAAAATCGTACTTTTTATCATCTGTCGTTTGTTATTTAAAGAGATTAATGAATGAAACGTAAATGTAGGCTATGTTTGGTTACGTAAAACATCTGAAAAATTGAAAACAATCGGCCCTTTCCGGGGCCACGAAGTTTCCTAACGTAGTAATAACACGTTGGATTAAAAATACATTAAGTGATTGTGTCGGGTGATCAGTGTTAGTGCAGTGCAGTGAAGTGAATACATATTCGATGGATTAACCCGGCGGCACTTGACGTTGCAACTCTTAACGTCGGCTGGTGTCGCATACCTGCGATCACCAGTGGCATGGACTCTACCCTGCCATAAACCATTTCGTCCGTCGATGCCCAGGCTCGGTACACTGACCTACTGACGCAGGTTTCTACGCTGCAGGTGAATTTCCGTAAGGGTGAGTTCTATTCAGTTTATTGGTCATTATTGTTTTATTAATTTCACCGAACTACAATCACTTCTCGTTTATTCTCTGTTACATTACCTTTTCGTTCACACGTTATTTGAAAAGGAAATTTACAAATTCGTAAAAAGGAATTTACAAAAATGTAAATGTGCATTCGTCTTTTTACGTTACACATAATTTGCCTACATTTACGTTTCATTCATTAATCTCTTTAAATAACAAATGACAGATGATAAAAAGTATGATTTCATTTGTTACGTCTTGTTTATTTGCTATTATTATACGCGGTTTCCTGCGATGCATGGTGACCTACTTGTTCGGAGCTTCGTAGTACAAGCGTAGCGCGTAGCCACCGCTAGCGCGGGAACTCGGCTGGCAAACTCGCGCTCTGATTGGTCGCGGTTTTTCAATAATATCTCGGTAAGGAAGCCTCAGTTTACATTCTTGCTAAGGAAAAAGTTGTTCCTATTCACCCCCCGAGTGCCCCATTTCCGGGTCGGAGGACATTTTTGGGACACCCTGTATTTGACGAAGACGGTGATCGAGGCAATTGGTCGCGGTTACGCAGTTTTCCGGGTTTCGCATTTGCCGAAACTTCAGCGAAATATGAAGCGAAAATACAAAAAGCAGTGTAGGAATTCGGGTTGGCGGATTTAATTACGATGTGCAATGTGTTGTGATTGGATTATACAGGCACTGCATTGGTGATAACGGTTCCGCCTCTGCCAACATTTGATTAACTTACAATTATTATACGGAAATGTGGAAAGTGAGGTAGAAACGGACAATGAGGCTGAGAGGGGTGAGGAAATGGTCATTCGAAGGACAAATGATTCCGAGAACGACGAAGAAGATGAAGAAGCTTCGGTGAGTGTAGCAATACCGACCTTCACCATAAGTTTTCGAGACGTGGAAGATACGATTCGGAAATTTGACGGTGGGGATACTTATCCGATCGAAGCATGGATATCAGATTTCGAAAATAGAAGACTTTGGCTCAATGCAATTTTCCGAGCGGGCTGATGACATCTCAAGCCGGCCTCACGGAGGCGGCGTCTACCGGTCCACTCGGAAATCGGCAGGTTTAATGCCGCAACAACGTCTCCCACGGCAGCAAAAGGATTTTCATCCAATTTTTGGACAAGAATGTTGTCCTGCAACACAGTGGTTCTCCTCGGCAACTTCAAGACCTTACGGTGGTTCTCCAATGCCACTGTATCTCCTTGACTCCACTTCCTAATCCAAAGTCGCACTGTCTTCTCAGTGCAGGGAATAAATGTACTAATCTGTTCGACGGTCCAACCAGATTCAAAAAACGCGGATATACGGCCCCTATCAATTGGTGATAAATTAGGGGCAATCAAGAAACTCTAAACATACGACGCACACGATATTAACCAACTGCGTTGTACTGAAGAGCAAGGAAGAATAATCTGTCGTAACAGAATGCTAACACGTGAGCTGTGGTAGACTTCATTTGTTTTTGGAGGGTGCGTAAGACTCCGCCGAGACGCGAGTGATAAACAAAGATGGTCCCTGGGAGCGTTGAAGTAGAAGAAGAACAGGCGCAACTTTTAGTTTAAAGAATGACCGAATTGGATAACACCAACGTTCAAGTTTAAACGAGAAAGTTAAAAGTTTCCCACCGAGTCGTCGTGATAAAATCTACTTCTACCGCGATGTTACAGTTCACGTTCTCCTCCGATAATCTGTCGATCAATTCCTTAATTCAATCTATCCCTCGATTACTTACGAAATTATCAACAACTAATGATAAGAATTAAAACATGATACTGTATAAAGGGTTCAGACATTTATCCGACCATCTCACATATTCTACAATTCTCGCAGTTCCATTAACCTGAAATGCATTTTGAGGTACTGATGAATATACTAACCAGTCTAGAAAAAGAAATTAATTTTCAATTTCTAAATTATTTATTAGCTCAATGAATAATTCGGTATACAGTTCATGTGGTATCTCATTTACCGCTATTTTCATCGTGTCGACCGAAAACAGGGTCCCTTGAAACATCGTCAAGACAAGGATGCGCCGTAAAAGAGTACAACCGCAAGTGCAAAAAGGACAGACTTATGCGACGGTTTCCGCGCAGTCGAGTAAAGTCGGCTTCCCTACGTTGTTGCTATAGTGGGGGAGATTGTTTTGCCAATCGTTCAATGGGCGACGATGGCGCCACTGAACAATCACCGATACACGCTGGCTGCAGTGATGCGAGAATCGTAGGTCGCTTTACCCCCGCCACTCCTCCACTCCGACGTATCATCGCCTCCCACTATAACGTCCTGGCTAGCCCCACTTTACGTCTACCGTGCTGGAACACACAAGCATATCGTGGCCCTGCCGAGTGCGCTGGCCGTTCGAGAGGCGGTGTGCTATAGTGAGAAAAGAGTGGGGGATCTACGACCCACGATTCTGATGCTCGAGACGGTGAGCTATCTTGGGAAAAGAGTGGTGGGAGTAAAGCGACCCACGATTCTGGCATCACTCGCTGGCTCTTGACAGACTGGTGACCAATTGTGTTTATTACTCATTTCACTTTCAATAAAATACATCGCTTTTACCTTCAAACGTTCAAACGCGTAAATTTGGTTGCTTGTGGAGTACTGAAATAAATGTTAAACTGAATGGGGTTCTTTCATGTAAGTGCGGCATGAGTTTCAGTGACTTCTGTGGTCAAGTGGTGGAGGGCCTTTCACCTACGCTACTTTTCCCCCAACGGGAGCCCACTTTGCTCGTGGGTGTACATATGTCGTGTCTATACATATGTATATAGGGTGTAACAATAATGTTTAAGGACCCGGGAATGGAAGACTCGTGAGGTGATTTGAAACAAGTTTTTCCTTAGAAAAAATGTTATCCGAGACTTTGTTAACAAGATATTAACAAAAAACCCCGACCAATCAGAGCGCGATTCTGCCGGCCGAGTTCACGCGGTAACCTTGGTTATCAAGCGCAGCGCGTAGGTGACTAATCGGGGTTTTTCGTTAATATCTCGTTAATAAAGCCTCGGATAACATTTTTGCTAAGTAGAAACTTGTTTTAAATCACATTACGGGTCTCCCATTTTCGGGTCCTTCAACATTTTTGTTACACCCTGTATGTGCGTATGTTAGATTTAACTTGATGCAAAGAAGTAGAGGTTATTGCAGTTATTAGGCCTTGTAACGGTTATATTCTAAACTTATTCTTTCATAGCATTGCGAATAAATTCCTTGTTATCATAAGTGCTGGTGTAGAGATCGGGCATTCCTTTTGCACAATGAACATCACGAGATACAACACCAATAACGCGTTTATTGTAGACCAATGGGCTGCCAATATCACCCTGGAAATGAAAAATAGATAACAATATTCAAGTTCAAGTTTAATTATATTTTTATTCTTATGTTTATATATAGTCAGGTTTACTTAATTAATATATTCTAATATTAAAGCCTTATAACAACGACACTTCAAACTCATACGAAGATTGCGAGTTATCACGAGTAAAGTAAAACTACCAACGTTGAATGTATATTAAACGAAACTGTATAATATTATATATATAAATCTATATACATATACATATAGTATAGTATAATGTAAAGGGTGTAATAAATTAAAGGTCAACATAAATTCGTATAAAGGTACCCTTATAATTTCAATTATTATGGAACAAAAAATCTGAAATCTGCCATTTTTATAATTTTGGTAGTTCTACATATTGTTAAAAATCTACTATATCATACGTATAGTTTTTTAGAATTTATACCCTCTAATGTTCATTAATATTGATTTTCCAGCAATTGAATTTTTAGCGAGGAAGAAATTATAATAACGATTATAAACGTCGAAGTCATAACACTTGAAAGTAATAATATGCTTCCTATAATACTTACAGTACATGTGCCAATGTTTGGTTCATTAACAGTACAGATTCCGGTGGTAATGTCGTCATAGATGTTGTGACAATCACTGAATTTGATGATACGAGCATTCAAATACTGTTGTACATTAGAGAGGTTGGATGGCGGACCTGATTTACTACCCCATCCGGTTACAACAGCGTAGGTCTCTTCCGGTGATCTCGCAGTGGCAAGTGCGATTGATTGTTGATACTCATTGAAAGTGATAGGATTACCGAGCTGCAAAAATAATATTGATCTAAATGAAGAAAATAGATTACGAATTTAAACCTTGGTAATACGTTTGAGTTCAACAAGTTCGCTATCTTATCGGATTTGTTGACAGTTTGTACAAGTATAATTGTATGTATTTGGAACATTCAATTTAAGGTATATCTTAATGCTCCCATACAGTGCCGTTCCTGGGTTGATAGCCGCCCGAGTGCGAAAACAGTATCGCCGCCCTTATTAATTTAATATTATTCAATTAAGAATTTAATACATGCAGTGTTTATACAATACAAATACAGTGTGTCTCACGACTCTGCCACTTAAATATCTTGGTTATTTCAAATAATACGAGAAAATGTTACCTACAAAAGTTGTAGGGTTTAAGAAACTACATAATATGGTATAAATGGTATTTTTGTAAGTGGAAGCATAGAGAAGATCTAGAGGTCACCTTTGTTTTTTTAAACGGAATGTCCAATTTTTTATGCTCGATTTTGATAGATTGGCGTATGATGAGTATAAAAGTACTAAGGTGCAGTAAATCTAACCATTCTTGCATCTTTTGATGCCTGTCAGTCGTTTCTGTATCAACCGATTTCAATGAAAGTTTCAGTATGTATCTAACTAACATAAATCTTCGATATGTATTTATTAAATTTTCATTATAGCCTCAGATTAAAAAGTTGTAAAAAACGACCTTTACTATTTTCTCGCGATACCGACCAATTGCGACCTTTTCAATTTTGTTTACGTACATCACTTAGTAAACCAATGTTCCTAACTGCACAAAAGAACTCGAGTCATTTGGACCAATTTGAAAAAAGTTGTTCCGTTTTAAAGGGTGTATGAATACTTTTGCCCGGTACTGCTCACGTATCACATGACATCTAACGACATGTTCAAATTTTAGATTTTTACCTTGATTACACTGATATCATGGTCTTTAGTTTGCCAGCCATCGCCGAACAGACCAACCACGCTGTGTGTTGTGCCACCCTGGTCAAGGTAGATCGTCCCGGTTACGACAGTCACGTCGTTAACGGTTCCCGCAGCAATTGTTTCCAAGCAGTGCTGGGCCGTGAGAATGTGATTCTTACTAATAATCGAGCCGCTGCAGATGTGCGAATTTCGTACTCGAATAGAGGCCACATATGGAAATTGGCCGGGTTGCGCGTTCTGTGTGCCTACCAATTTTTCGGCAAGATTTGCGCTTACTGTGACATAAACAATGACGGAAACAAATTAGTTAAATTTGCAGAAACTGTTTCAGAGAAAATGGATACAATGGAAGAAGGCCAAGAATTAGGAAGGACGATAAATAGGAATCTCGGTGTAATAAATCATAAAAATTTTGATATTGTAGTAACAGGGAAAATTGATTAGTTTATTAAGAATTTACCAGAAACGATGACTGCAACTAAAAACAAGCTCACGAGACTGCGGTTCATGACTGCCACGGTTACTGGGCTTCCTTGATTCTCGATTGAGATATACATATAGGTACCTACTGGAGTCGCGATAAAGACAAAAATAAGTATATCTGTATCTGATTAATCATCATGGGAGCTGAAGTGTGTGGATAGAGAAAATGATGTGATATCGAGATAAGAAATCTGTGTAATATTAAAAATTCAGAAATTATGTTTTTGATTTTGTTATCTATTGATTCCAATCTTCAAATTATTTGAACCGTTTTGACGTTATGACAGTTATTTTTATATCGAGTGTCAACAATTGTTTGAACTTGTCTACTACTATAATTTTAACTTGCACTTAATGTTTGCTTAATATAGTACAGAACTGTACGTACGTAATAATACACTATACATTATCTTTTCATATCAGAACATATTTCATTCACGTAAAAATTAAGAGATTTATGGTAATCAATAATAAGTATTCGTGTTTTATGTACACACCGTGTTTAATTATTTGATTGACCTGTAGATTTGTGCTGTCACTAGAAATATTACCGACGACTATCATATGTTTTTTTCTACGTATTTATAGGATAGTTTGATATTGTATCTTTTAAGTTTTAAGTTATAGAATTAAAATGATTAAATATTAGGTATAGAATTTAGGTTTTCTACATTATTTTTTAATCGTTTAAACTGCTTAAAGAAAAAGAAAAAATGTCTGTTGTAACCGATATAAAAAGCGTAAAAAATGAAATACTGTTCGTTATAAGCGTCAAGAAGTTTATCGAAATAGTAGAATCCTTTCTGAGACTTGATAAAAATGTGAAGAAGGCAGGTTTCTTAATGTCGATACAAGTCATGATCCTACATTTCCACAAGGTATTTCGTCCATTGTTACAAATATTGTTATGGAACATATTTATTCGTCCTGCAGTAGCATCGGAAACAACATCCTGAAATCCAATGAAATTTTGAACAACATTTTCATGGAACATAATTATTCGTCTCGGAGTAGTATCGCAAACAAGAGAATCTGTAGCGAAAAACTGGATCCATAAGTCAAAAATAAATCACAATTCAAAATTTTACACATTAAAGCGAAATAATCCATCTTTGATAGATGATGTGGACATTAGAATTAAACGAAACAAGTTACAAGGAAAAGAATGCATTTTCGAGATAAATTCGACTGATGTCAATGAATTTATGAATGATAGAATAGTAAGTGGTTTGAGACATTCTCGTAAGCATTCGAGTTTGAAAGCAAACATATATAAGTCTACAACAATTCAACGATCGATGAAATTGAGAAAAATAGAATTGTCAGAAAAAGATGAAAATATTATTCAGAAAGGGGAGTGGTTAGAAGACACGCATATAAGACATTTTCACAATATTCTGCGACAATTTCATAGTTATGAACCCAGAGATACGCTTTACTACAATGTCCAGATACAATAATCCCAGTGGATGAATCAAAAAAACATATACAAATTTTATACAGTAAAGCGAACGATGATTGGTCTAATAGTACAGATGATCATTGGGTTTGCTGTTATTATGATACAAATTTAATTTATATGTATGATTCTGTGAACAAAAGAATTGTACAGCGATACCATAAAATTTTTTTAAAACGATTATTTCCATTTTATTCTTTCGAAGAAAAAAGTGTCATTCTCCACTTGATACAGATGCAACAAAATTTCAATGCTTGTGGCGTACACGCAATAGCTAATGCCGTGTCACTGGCATTAGGAGTAAAACCTACTGAAGTGCAATATGATCGCACTAAAATGCGTGACCATTTGATCAAAATGTTAAAAAATAATGTCACGGACTTTTTTCCTGTGCTTCAATATAATCATCCAAGAAACTTTGATAACGAATTCATTAAGGCAGCAAAGATCCATGATGTAAATCGATTGATAAATGGAGTTGATAATGGGACGTTACCTTCTTCTAATATGGCGGAACAAATTTTGCAAACTGTATATTCACAAGAAAACGTTGCCGAGAATAATAATACTCTGAATAAAATTGATTTTTCCCAGATAGCAGCTGCAAAAAGAAGAAAAAATAATAGTAACTATAATAGGAAACATAAATTACGAATTCTTCGGCATAAACGGCCCCAGATAACAGCAGCAAAAAGATTAAAACATAATCATAGCTATTATAAGCAAAATAAATTAAGAATTCTTTGGAAAAGTAGTAAAAATGATAAAGGGAAGAAACTTCAATTTCTTTCAAAAATAATGCAACGTAGACGTAAACCTGGATATCGGATATGTAGAAAAATATATAATAAAAAATATTACATTAAGTGCAAAAAACAACGCATTGTTGCAAAAGTTGGAATGATCCGAAAAATCAATTACACGATCAAGTTTCATCGTTCTTCTGACAGATATATAAAGAATGTTTCAAATTCTATTCTTTCAGAAATGGAAAAGAAATGTATAGTGAGTAGCCGATTAGGAGCTATGAAAATTTATAATTGGTGCATGCAGCAACGGAATAGCTATTTATTCTATTTGAGAACAAAAATAAGAATCTTGAAACAAAAAGCTGACATTGCTTTGACTCCAGCTAACAATTGTCCAGAATGCAACGTTTCGGATAGAACTGAAGCATTATGTGGATTTTCAAAGCATTTGCCGTCTTCTGAACCATACTCTTATGAGGCTGCCTACAAGCACAAATTCTTGATAAAGAATTCTAAGTACGATTCTCATCAGAGAGATAAAAACGAAAATGATAACGACATAGAGGTTGTGAATATAGACAAAGTTTGAGAACCTGTGCCTATTAAAACCAAACTTCCTATTCTCAGTGAGAAAGGCCAAGTTACGAACGTATTACCATTATTAGTACCAGACGACAATAACAAAAACGAAAGGAAAATATGGATGTGTGATGATACTTGCAAAATTGATAACGTATCCATTATACAAAGGTATCAAGCATTGTTGAAGACTGCAGACAGCCTCAAAATAAAGATTGTTCATAAATTTTCCAATAACTTACTGTCTTGCAGTAGAAGTTACTCGACATGTTCTTCGACATTTTTACCAGTTTTACTTGTAGTCCCTCATTTTGTCAATGTAAGAGTTATATAGAGAATTATTTATAGAATTTTGGAACAGTACAATCATATACAGAATCTCGCTAATATCACTTTTAACATTATGAGTGATGGAGTACATTTATACCATACAGCTTTTGTATGAACATTTATTTGATAATTTTAATTTCTCGTCAATATATTATATGTATATGTATATCGCGTTAACAAAGCCGCAGCTAACATTTTCGCTAAGGAAAAAGTGGTACCAAATCACCCCAGCAACCCCTCATTTTCCGGAAGAGAGACATTTTTGGGACACCCTGTATATATATATATATGTATATAATATTTGTATATAAGTAGAGGAAGAAAATAAGTTACTTAATATTATTATTTCGTTGACTTACCTTACATTAAATGATTTATTTTAAATGTAATTTACAGGATGTATATGTTGTTTGTTATGGCTTGAGTCAATAGGCACACTCTGTTGGTTATTATTAACTACGTATTTATTTATAATTATACATATAGCGTATATAATACTGTTCTTCCTTTATGCGTACACACACGTGGCAGTCATCCTCTAACATGCTTTGTGAACTATATTTTTTTCTACACTCACTCCCCTTACATCTATACCACATGCATAAAAAGAAAACACCTTATCGCTAGGGTGATTTCAGGAAAGCATCCTTACAACACCCCCTCTTAATGATTTCCTGATGCTAAATATACATACTCTTTCCATGATTAAATCATGACCCTCTCTAGTTGTCATCCTCTATTAACCCTATGTCTTTTCTCATTTTACCTGGTGATCCTTTAGTAAGGATATCGGCTTGTTGACTCTTAGTACTTAAATATTCAATCACAATGGTTTTGTTTTTCACTTCTTCATGTATAAAGTTGTATTTTAAATCTATATGTTTAACTCTACGATTATTTTCTGGGTTTCTTATTAAAGCTATACATCCTTAATTATTTTCATATACCGTTAAGCTATTTGCGTTCACATTTAAGTCTACCAACAGTTTTCTAAACCAGATCCCATCTTGAACCGCATTACACAACGCCACGAGTTCTGCTTCCGCAATTGACAATGCAATTCCCTTCTGTTTTCGAGTTGTCCAATATACTGTGTTTACAAGTATCTTGATTAAATACCCTGTAGTCGATTTCCTGTCTTTCATATCTCCTCCCCAATCTGAGTCTACATAACTAGTTAGGGATAATTCAGTGCCTCTTAAATATCTTAGAATTCTCTTTAGATGATTTCACGTTTCAACCCACATTTTATCCTGATATCTACTTAAGTAGTTTACTGCATAGCTAATATCCGGACGAGATCGTAACATGAGGAACATTAAACACCCAATCAATTCTTTAATTGGTTCACTTCTTTCATCATTATTATGCTCACCCAATGTTATTCTTAATTTATGATCAATAGGTGTCACACAAGTCTTGGCATTTTCAAAATTAAAGCGTTTAAGCAATTTGGCTAATTTTTAGTATACCCTTATCTCTATCATAATCTAGCTCTAATCCTAAGAAATATTTGAGTTCTCTCTTATCCTTTACATCATAACGATTTGTTAACTTTGTTTTACATAGATCTATTAGTATCAAATTCGGACCTGCTAATATGATGTCGTCCGCATACAATAATAAGTGCACAATGATCCCTTCAATTTCTTTGGTATATAAGCAGTAATCATTCTCTGCACTTTTGAAACCTATTCTTACTAAATAATTATTAATCTCATCATTTCAGTTTACTCGACGCTTGTTTTAATCCATATAACCACTTTTTTAACTTTAACACATATCCTTCCTTGCATTCAACACCTTATGGCGGATGTATATGTATAGTGTCAAATTAATGTACGTGTTCCTCTGATAAAAAATATAAACGAGAATTGAAGTCTTTGTTTGGGTAAAATTGACCAGAACAGTGCACGAGGGTTAATTTCACTTACTGATAAAGAATATTCTTTAATCCATTGATAAATACAACAAACATATGACAGTTGAAATTGCCTTGTAAAAGTCAAACTTACATTTTAAAGATTACGTTCGAGAATAAAAGTTTTTAACAATAGTCGTGTAAACGTACACAATTTGACCACAGCAATTCGTTCAGAGTTCAAGACAATGCCTAGTGCCACTAAAAAATATGTTATTTCGTATGCAGCAATCCAATGCATTTATCGTTATCAACAGCCAGTTACATCTCAAGGTTTATGATAACTATCGAAGTATATAAAGCACCTGCTGACGGCCGCCATTATTATTAATCGTGATTGTTGTTTTTCTTAAAGTTAAACAGTTGCAAGATGTCTCTCAATCTTATTAGCTTCTTGGCACTTGGGAGCATCGTCTGTGGTAACGTATAACAGTGTTGCGAAAAAGTTTTGGACTGAATCTGCCGGAGAAAAGTATTTTATAGTGTATCATTACATCATGAATTGACTTCAAAATATGCAGTTTTAGTTCAGCTTTAGCATTAATTCTTAGCAAGTATTCTACCTAAAAATTAGTAGTCTCCTTGAAAACATAATAATTCGTTTAAGGTAATAATATTCCGTACGACCTTTTTTATTTACGAAATTTGTTCATTACTTTCCATCATTCTTCTGGTAGTACTTCAATGATCTCATTAATGTTGTTAAAGTTGTTTCCTTTCCTTGCACGTTTTGAATAATCCCAAGCAAGCTCAATGTTGTTCAAGCTGTAACTTTATGATTATCAAGTTGTAAATGCTGATCTATTGTCTTTCTCTATTAATTATACAGAGTGTTATGTGATTGGTGGTACAACTGGGTAGGGGTTGATTCTACGTGAGAAAATAAGTCGAAAATGTAAAATAACTTTTTTCATTCGAGATTTCATGTTTGAGAAAAGCGACTTTGAAAACTAATCTGAAACATGTATATTTCAGAGGCCAAAAATAACAGTTATTTTAAACATTTTTTGGAAAAAAATCATTGAGCAAAAAGTAATGTTTATTTAAATAAAAACCAGATATTAATAAATCTCGAAGAAATTTTTCAAAAAATGACGCAATTAAAAAACATGGATTTTTAACTATTCTGATTACGAATAACTATTATTGATGATCAAAATGTTTGTTGGTTACCAATAACAATTATCGATGACGGGAATTTTTTTTGGTTGCGAATAACCATTATTGGCTACGAAAATGCTATTGGTTATGAATAACCATTATCAATGATGGAAATTATTTTTGGTTGCACATAAGCATTATCGATGACAAGAATTTTATTTTGGTTACCGATAACCATTATTGATGACAGCCATTTTTTTTTATTACGTGGCAACCAATATACATGACGAGAGTTTTATATTGGTTACTTTCGACTATCGACAATTTTTATTGACGTTATTTTTATTGACATATCTATCAGTGACGCAAAATGAATTATAGAATTATATATTTTCAGGTAAAATATAGATACGTTAGTGAAAATAACGTTAATAAAAATTGACAATCGTCGAAAGTAACCAAAATAAAACTCTCGTCATGGATATTGGTTGCCACGTAACCAAAAACAAATTCTGTCACCAATAATGGTTATAGGTAACCAAAATAATATTCTCGTCATCGATAATGGTTATGTATTACGTGAAACCAAAAACAATTTCTGTCATTGATAATGGATATTCGTGACCAATATAATTTCCGTAGCCAATAATGGTTATTGGCAACCAAAAAAATTTCCGTCATCGATAATTGTTTTTGGTAACCAACAAAGATTTTAATCAGTTATAATGGTTATTCGTAACAAAAATCTTGCACACAAAGGTATTAACTCTTATACCGTCACTTTTTAAATTATGGTTATAACAGTTAGGGTTTTTCGTATGTTTGTCATGGCAGCTAAGTAGAAAGAGAATGCAATGAACAGGCGTCTTATTCAATTGTACGCATATCCAGCAGATTTTCAAAGTTGATTTTCTTGAAAACGAAGTCTGAAATGAAAAAACTTTACTGTACATTTTTGACTAGTTCTTTTCATGTTTGTATAATTGAATTAATTTTTATTTTTAACACTTCTAGTCTTGTAGTTACGATAGGTGATCCAAGACTTTTGCACGCCCTAGTAGCATTTATGGTTGGCCAACGATATCCAACAGTTAGGAGTTAGTTGGGATATAGTTACTGTTTTTTGTTTACAAATTTTCAAAATAGGGCCTACGACGAAAAAGTTATGCCACCTTGCCAACGAATATCCAATGTTGGGCCTACAATTATTATAGTTGGTTAATTAGCAAGAAATTTACAATGATAATGCAACATTGGCCCAGCCAAAGTTTGCCAACATTTAAATATCGTCTTAAAGACGCCAGAAACGTTGCTACAACCAAAAACTTGTTATTATATTTCAAATTGATTTTTTTGTCTTCTTATTTATGAATATACTCACAATTTATTACTGTCGCGAAACACGTTTGACACTTGACATTTTGTGAAAGTAGAGTCTGCGGATAGAAGATTGGAAATAACTTTTAATAATTATTTATAATAATTAGCGACATGTATAAATTGTATATAATAAATTGTAACGGTAACTTTGTTGATAAAATACTTGTTTACCTGTTTAATATGCATATACAATTTATACATGTATATAATTATTATAACAAGTAATTATTATAAATCTTATTTCCATTGTTATACTCCTTGAAATATTTGTAAAGGATTTTATGGAAGTGTAGTATAGCCAACTGTCTTCCTAATGTTGGTTTATTGTAGATATTCAACAATTGGCCCTACAGGAAGAAACCTCCAGTTGGCCCTTCGAAGTATAGTAACGTGGACCCTACGTTGGGTATGATTGTTGGTCCAGTTGCAAAGAAAGGTGACAACTCTAACTGTTGGCGAACCAATAGTACATCAAAGGCCCATCAAAATGCCAACAGAATTGCTACTAGGGCGCTACTTGAGGAGCATCAATACTTTGAAGAATGAAACAAGCCTTTTCGACTTGCTTTTGGAATATACGAATGAAATATTTTACGATAAACTTTATCTTTTTACCATATTAATATGCCCTAATTTTTTATCTAAGCAAACGCCGCTAGTGATGCCCCTGGTGCCCAGGACTCCGAACTAGGCTGGTTTCCATACGTGGTGTCCCTCAGGATAAATAATGGACATTTGTGCACTGGTAGTATCGTTGACAATATGCACATCCTCACTGCCGCGCACTGTCTGTACTCGCACCTGAATAGTCCGAACGACGTGGTCGTAGTTACTTCGACCATCCTCCTTGATCAGGGGGGTGAATCGCATCGTATAGCTGCCATGTTCGTACCCGAGGGATATCCTGCCGATCCTGCCCAAGATATAGGCGTAGTAAAGGTGAGTCTCACTTAACCCTTCTATTGTGTTCGGGTCTATATGATCTGATCGATTTTCTAAGGTAATATAAATTTCTTATTTAGACTTCGATTGCGTACGGGTTTGCTGACGTTGTTGACATCCATGTATATTTTCAAATGTTGAAAGAATTTTTCATGAAATTTATTATAAATATATATAAAAAAAATTGTTACATTTATTACGTTCGTGTCACTATGACCCGAAACGTGAAAATGATTAGGTAGAATTCGTCGAAATCAGAATCAGGTAAAATATAAACGGCGGCCAAGTTTTGTCAGCGAGTTCAAAGTAGTTACGCCGTCGTATCACTAACGACAATGTATTGGTTATCTGAGAACAGAGAGAAACTTCGCGATTGAAAACGAAACTCACCACAAGTAAATTTCTTTAGTCGCAAGCAAGTAGTCGTAGCAGTTGGTTGTCCGAAGTGAGTGAAAACAGTTTTGAATATTTTTCCAATTCTATTAATCTCAAAAGGGAAGGCACGGAAGTATCCCCCTCCGATTTTGATGGAACTTCGTATGTCTGTTAAGCAGTCATAAATATGGGATACGTATTTTTTTTTTATCGGCTGAGACGCGACTTTAAGGGTTAAAATCACCCCTCGAAGTTTCGATCCGAAATTTTTTTGTTATAAACAAATTATATTTTGGACAATTTATTAGCACCATCGTCCATTAAATGTTTTCATGTATCTTCTCATGGTTTTCGAGATAGTACTTCCGGATCGAACCTTCGAGGGGTGGTTTCACCCCTTAAAGTCGCGTCTCAGCCGATGAAAAAAAGTACGTATTATTTTGACTGCTTAACAGGGAGGGGGACACTTTCGTGCCTTTCTTTGTTAGTACATCCGTAATTGAAGATAATTTATCAGGTCCTAGTGACACATTTTCTAGTGAATTGAACACGTATCATGTCAAATGAAAGTGCGGTTCAAGAGCTTTCAAATGAACTCAAGATGAAGTCTGTAAACGAAACAGAACTGATGATATTGATGTTTGAATGTAAACGGATTACCAATTTTAAGAATTTTGTACAATCTTTAATCTTTTATATTTTCTGAGATATTTATTTTAAAAATATAAAAAGAAATTAAGCGTGTTACTACACCATATAGAACACGTAAAAAAAAACTTCAACACAATCGGAGGCATGATCGAAAATTTTCCCTTTAAATCGTTCCGGTTGGCGTGGAATGACTCGGCAGCAGTCATCGAATAAGTATTAAGTGCACCGTGTATTACATTCTACAATCAATATTATTTTTCAGCTTCTCGATAGGATTGATGACGGCCCGTTCCAACGTTCTATTCCAATTAGCGATCTGAGGCCACCAGGGGATCAGTACGCTCTGATGGCCGGATGGGGTGAAATTCCTACTCCAATACCCCATATGTCTAATTCACAGCAGTATTTGTACGTTTGGATGATCCAGACCAGCAAATGTCAAGAATACTATGATATGATTACTACTCAAATCTGTTCGTCGACAGAACAGAACATTGGTGTTTGTCCGGTGAGTATTCGAAACATCATACAGTAAATCCTGGATGAGTGTTCGAAAGCTCCTCAGCACTGAACATGAAATATTTTATAAACTAATGGCCATACGGGGTTGAAACAAATATCATTGGCTTGAGAATTCCAAGCTTTATCACCATGCTGAACCCCATTAAAAAGTTAGCGTTACACCTGGGTATCTTTCCTTGTTAGTGTTGTGGAGTATTCGAACACTCATCGAGGATTTAGAGTATTATGATGTTTTATGTTACTTCTGAATAAAGTGATCATCTTAACGAATAAGTTGAACACGGTACTGTTCGTGACAGTAAGTCGTTAAAGAACTCGATCAGAGTACATTTCACCCCTTGGGTAGATATGATGAGTCAGATTATACATTTCGCGTGCTAAACTGCTGATTGATAACTTTAATTTGTCATTTGAAACAATACTTTTTATTGAAACAATGATTTTTCTGTAACTTTCCTCAATTTTACTAACCTAAGAATTTTATCGTACTAGGTTGGTGAGATTTTTAGACTTTAAGAGAGAAACTACCGTTTCTTTTACTTATTCGCTTGTGACTCGTAAGCTACAAAAGATATCGAAAAGAAGTTTAGAATTTTATATCAGTTTCACTTGTCCATGTATCGGTAGGCAAAAATATTCAAGAAAATTATTTTTCAAATTTATTCTACTCAATTTATCTATACTCTAGTATTTTCGACAATTAATAACTCGGAAACCAAGCCTTCAACGCAATTTCGTTATTCTTGATTTTTGTCTTACAATTAGTTTAGCATATAGAATCCACCCTGTGAAAATGTCCCACATTTTTATTAACATCCTGCATTTTAATCACCTGAAATTGTCTGCAATACTGTGCCACTCATTCCATGGAGATAAAGGAATTTTTAGGTGAAATCTGTTCATTCATTTTTTAACGCAATGTAATAGGACACAGAGATAAAAATTTAGTCGGAGCCGTGTGGAAAATTTCTTTAAACTAAATCAGTACCCAAGGGGTTAATAGTAGAGTAAACCAACTGCATACCAGTGAATGACCATTAGGCAAGAAATGTAAATTATAAATTTAAAAATTATTAAATGTTTGTAAATGAAGCGTTGTTGCACTTTTAATATCTCATATTTTTAGTTTAGCTTATTAAGCAAACATTAGTCGGTACAATTCTTATTAAAAATATTTCAGAAATGTAGCAGCCATTTACGGGGCTTTTACACGTTTCGCACATTTTAAAAATTACAATAAGCATAAGTAACCATTTTTATAAAAATTCAAGAAAAATAAATGTAATTGCAATTTCAACAGCTGTTTTGTTGTTATAAATAAATAAATTCAAATATTAATCTTAAACATCCAGAAATTCAACAATTTGGTCATTCACTGGGTGGTTTACCCCAGTAAAAAGAAAATTCAGTTTCTACGGGACGTAGTGATTAAGAAATGATTATCATTAATAATTGAATTTTTGTTTGTTTCTATAATGTTGTTTGTTTCGTTTCATTAGGGTTACAGCGGTAGTCCACTGGTTTACGAGGATAAAGTCGTTGGTGTCGCGTCTCGTGGATTTTGCGCGATAGGTAAACCGGATATCTTTATAAGCGTCCACGACAATATGGATTTCGTTTTCCATGCATTGCAACAATAACATCATTCATCGATGGTTTATCCACGGTTTTGTAACTATCAATGAATGAAATTTATAATTGCATTTGTTTCCTATCATTTGAAATGTGCTTATTCTTGTTCAAGTAATAAATTTGAAGTTACAGACAATTAACTGCGTAATTAACTTCTCCACGACAATGTCAAACCTCTTATCGAAATAATGCAGAAGCTGAAAAACTATCGAATTTTTCCCTACAGCTCACATTCGTTAATTTGCGAGTAGTATCACTTGTGTGGGAAATAATAAGTCAATTGCGGCAAATATGAATGAATGTATTTAAAGTAAAAACGATGCAAATTATTTATGCACGAACGAGATAAATTATTTTCCAAACAATACGGATGACAACACGTAATTAATGACCATATTTTCGCTTTTTAATGTGTTCCTTGATTACTAAATGATGCAACTGAGCATTAGTTTACAGTCATTTGGGGACCGAGACTTCATTATGAAATTCATATGTAAGGTGATCCCCTAAACTCAAAAACTGACATGAGACGAAATCATAAGGATACGTTTTTGAGATATCGCCCTTTGAATATTTTGGTAATTTGTTAAAAAAACGACCCGATGTTTTTGGCCATTTCTCGCGTTAGAGTTGACCGATTTAATCACGATGACTCTGAAAGTAAAGGAATAGAGGTTCTAACTTGTAAACATCTGTTGCACAAATAGTTTTGATAGTTTTACAAGTTACAGGCTGTATCACGAATATTATTAACTAAAAAACCTACCGATTTACTCACCAGAGGGAAAACAGTGAAGTCGAGCGCGAAAGTTGACGTACGGTTGGCAATACGCTTGATTATTCTCACACGATCGTGGGAAGGAATGATTTAAACCTGTTTATTTTACATCTTTCGCGCAGATCGTTTTGCGGACGTGGCGGTTGTTAAATTAATCACCTACTTGGTCTGCATTGTTGACAGACGCATTGACGATAAATCGGCGGTACGATAGGACGTGGGAAAGAGCACTGTAAGCGATTTTAGGATGCTGTTAATTTACATGTCAGTTGCAATAGATGGTTGACTGTAAAATCACCGAGGAGAGGCGGGGGGGGGGGGGAAGATTCTGCTAACGTTAACGATGTAACAGCGATTTTGCAGAGTTAACACGTGACGGGGTTTATTTAGAAATAATATGAAACTACATCTTATTGGCAATAATCTGTTTCTTAATCAAATTAATTCCATTGATGATCATTGGCGTCATTAGAATTTTCCCCTGGGGGGGGGGGGGCAGGTCTCCTGACTTTCGCATAATTGCATATAATTATTTCACATTTTGCAATAATTATTTACATGCTTATTTAACAGTGAAACTAAGCATAGAAGAATATAAACATAAGTCTTGTAAATAAAGGAAATTTGAGATTGATTAAAATCAAGAGTATATTATGTGCAGATACCTATAATTAACATGTATGATACGTATAAACTTTAATTTGCTATTTTGTTTTCTGCAAAAATATTTTTCACATTCTCGAGCCCTAGTTCCCTGAACTGTACCCGACCCTTCAATTGATGTTGCAGGATTATTAGTTAAGTAGAATGTAATAATTAAACAGTTTAATTCGAATACAATTTTACTTAATGCTTTAACGTAATTAGGATAGTATTGTATTTTTTGTACTTAGTTGCGTTGCGTATTGCCTTTCCGCTCAAGTATTTATTTTTTATAACATAAGATTTTACCAACTGACGAATGTTTTTTTTATTTATTTCAATGATTTCTGGACGGGGGACACAGATCCACCCTGGCCCCTATGTAGTTACGCCAATGTTGATGACAGATATTGGCTGTCATTGACACCGCGAGCAGTACAAATTTTCGTCAGAAATAATGATTAAGGGGCTAAAGGAGGGGATCCATATACAGGCTAGGGTCTAAATATGAGCTAGTTGAAAGTATAGGGTCATGTTGTTGTTAAGAATGTAATATTGGTCTATGCAGAATTAACTTTTTTTAAATGATACTATACTAGAATAATTGAAACTATTAAAATAGTGTTGGAAACTTTTTGGAGACCTGCGATCTTCCGTCGTTGACGGGTTCACCATTCATATCTACAACACACATTCAACTTTCCATCCGATAGCGTGCTCACTTTGAAGTACCGCCAACAAACGGAACAGCCCCAGATGCTCGCCGAACGCTCGGTTCGTGTTCGCTTCGCCGTCCACATCAGCTCACGTTCGCTTCTTCGGCATGCGTCCGGCACTTATTCGGTGTTCATTCGGGTCTGCATGCTCAGATGGGTACGCGGCATTAGGTGGTTCACCATAGTGGGAATAGTGTAGAGCTATGACTCGAAAACAAAAGAAGCTTATTTTAACACCATATCGTAAAGCAAACATGATTTACATACATTGAAGTCAGAATTACATTTTCAAAATCTTCAACAGCGTTGTAACAAGTCCTGACATAAAAGTGCTAGCTCATATTTCGACCACCTTTTGTAATATCCAACGTTTACATTAATTGATTAATACATCCAATCTTAAGAGATCGACTTACAAGGAAAGGCGCGTAAGTGTTCCAGTCCGATTTTGATGAAACTTTGTATATTTGTGTAGCAGTAAAAAATAATGGATACGTATGTTTTGTTATCGACTGAGACGCGATTTTAAGGGGTGAAACCACCCCTCGATGTTTCGGTCTGAAATTTATTTGTTATAAACAAATTATATTTTGGACAATTTTTTAGCACTATATTATTCTACATAGAAAACCGCAAACCTCGTCCATTAGAAGTTTTCATATATCTCCACTGGTTTTCAAGATAGTACTTTCGAGTCGTAACTTCGAGGGGTGGTTTCACCCCTTAAAGTAGCGTCTCAACCGATAAAAAAGAATACGTATCCCTTATTTTTGACTGCTTAACAGGCATACGAAGTTTCATCAAAATCGGAGGGGGACACTTCCGTGCCTTCCCTTGTTAGACTCATGTAGTGAAAGTTGAAGTTTTTATATCGAAGCAAAAATGGAAAACTTGAAAACGATTTCATTCTTTGTAGGAACATCCAGACCTAAATCATCTTGATCGTTTGATCGGCCTAAAATTGTGTCTAATTTAAACAACTTATCATGTGATTAAAATCGTGGTTTATTAAAAAACGAAAATATATAGTTTGTAGAGTGATCTTTGAGGGGAATACCTCTTCAAAATTTTAATAAGACCGTAAAAACGAGAGGGAATGGCGACTATTTTTCTAAACCGTGTTTTTAAAAGCAGTGTTCCGCAATATCAGAGATATTTATGCCTTCTGTCACCTAAAATAATAAAATGAAAATAAACATTTTTCGTTAAATTAGATGCATAAAACTAATACTTGCCATAGCCGATTTCGAAAATATGGGTTTTTCGACAAATGACAACCAGTCGAAGCAAAATATGACAGGTCACAAATCATACGTTTTGTTAAATTTGACCTAGTTTTGGGTCGGTCAAACATACATATAAACGTATCTTGAAGGAGTTTTCAAAATTTTCTTAAATCGTCGATGTTACTGCCGTTTGAAATATAGTGTTAACCTTTTTTCTATAAACGGTAACTGTTCAACTAACAAACTAATCAAAATGAGCTTCATGAAATTATTAATTTTCAAAACTTATTTTAGTTGAAAAAAATATCTTTTAACCATTTATTTTGCAATTGATTTAAAGAAATTAAATTTTATAATACTGTGGAACTATTGAAAAATATTCACAGTCGTTGGGTCGTCGATTTTAATGAAACATTTTCTGACGAATCTAGAGCAAAAATAAACCGACACGTATTTTGTCGTTTTAGTCAACGGTAATGTTTTATGAAGATATTTTATTTGTAATTTTTACGATATTGAGGCCTCAATACGAATCATTAAATACATGTACTGCCATTAGGATATATTCCCTAATCCATAATCAACTATTCGCACCTATTTTTAATAACATGTTATGGTATTTTTGGTTCATGAAGAAACTACTACCCGATACAGCAATCTTTTTAAACGTTAGTCAAGTTTAATTCCCTGAGGACATCAAAAATACAAAATGTTTGTGTAACTCAACTGCATTTATCAAATGCTCGTATTGTAGAAAATACCTACGTTTTAATTGTTTTTACGATGAGTATCATCCATGAAATTGTCAGTTGTAGTAGAAATATAATAAATAGCTTACAAAAATGTAGAAAAAATAGAAAAAAATGAACAAATAATACAAAATTAAAACAAAAAACATGTACATTTAAAGGAAAAAAAAAATGAATAAGTATAATAGCACTCAACCACCTTCGCTACCATAACTGGTGCAACGAACTTCTATTACCTTCTATTACCCTGTATTTGTTAGAATCATAGAAGTCACATATAAAATATCTTCATAAAAAATGAGTATAGACGAAACGGCAAAATATGTGTCGGCTTATTTGTGCTCTAAATTCACCAGCAAAAATTTTCATTGAAAACGACTGTGACCATTCCTCGTCAGTTGAGCCGTTTAGGCATGCAGTAGAGTGAGTTACGGGACGTAAACAACAACAATTGCACGCCCTAAGAATTTCGTTTTGTAATAATAACATTGACCGCCGTTACCCCATTCTTCTCTAACATTGTACGAACGGGGACGTGACTTGATAAGTCCTCGATTAAGATGAATCGAGCCTTTGATCGAGTGACGGTTCGTCCGACGTCCAACAAAGCTGCTCCCCCATTGGGACGTAATGAAAGGGACGCTTTTCACCTGAGCTCCTGGGGGAACATTTTATCGTCGCGCGTTCTAACAGGTTCATCGCGTTAACAGTGGCAAATGATCGAGGTTTTAACCTGTCTCTCTAATGAGCGACCGGCTATTATGGCGCGCCGCGAAAAACGTCACAGAAGTGTCAAACCAAATGTTTGAGGATGGTTTCGTAGTAAAGGCTCAATAGGGCCCGTCTATCCTTCTGTCATTTCTTGCATCCGTGAATGGGGAACGGACCACGCGAAAGACGCGAGAGGATGAACACGGACTGGTTGCTTGCGTCACATATTTGCGCTCGCGTTAATTTGTTTGAGAGTTCCGTCGAGGTATTCAATGTCGGTTGCTTTGCGCTTGCCGTGACTGGAA